TATGGACTTGGCTTGTCGATGTTTCCAGCCTTATCGTCGAGTGATCTCCATAGGCTGGTATCATCTGACAAAAGCTGAAGGGTCTGACAAAGGCGGGCTATTAAGTCTAGTTCGTCTACTACTGTAACAGATATGGGCTTAGATATGTCTCATAATTATTTGTGTGAACATAAAAATAATTTGTGTGTAAATATGTGATTTGTAAATGTAAAACACCATCCACAAATGCATTTAAAAGATTTGCAAACTCACAAATAAATGTGCCAATGTAAAACGGATCTGCAAATACTCTATTTATTTTTACAAATAAAAAAAGACCTTTGAATATCTCTTTAACATTTACAACTTTCGACCAGGCATTTGTGAATCCATTTTGTATTTGTCGACCAAAAATGCGCTTGCGGATCTCAAATCTCTGCTTGTGGATCATCTCTTTACACACACACAGTTTTGAGAGAAACTTTCCGCCGGTCTCGGCTAAAATCTACTCGTGTCACTCGGTTATTTTCTGAAACCACGTGATTGCCTGCTGATGACTACATTTCCACATGGTTTTCAAAGTCAGAGCATGATGGTTTGTTTAATGCACAGTTTTTTTAATGAACAGCGGAACGTTAGATGCATTCTTTATCAGAGAGTGGATTAGGCTCTCATTTATTCTGTAATCTAGTCAAACTCTAACCTCCGGGGAATTCGGTAGTATTTCTTTAATGGGTGGTTAAGATGTGAGGATAACAGTGTGTCTGTGTTTGGGCTCAAATAAATATTGCATTTCACCTGTATACTATATTGGCTACAACATGTCCACTTCAAAATAACTGAGCCATCGTAAATGGTTCAATGCCTGTGAATCGGATAAAAAATGTAGAATACAGTGCATTTTGTATCTACAAGGAACCCAAATACGATGGTCAGTCAGGCAAACAATTGCACAATTTGATTGGAGGTTGATGATTGGTGTTGATAAATAGTGAGATTACAAACAATAGGGGATCAATGCTCTAACTAAACTTGATCTATGACTTTCTTGTCTTGTCAGTGTTTAATATTTCAATGCAGAATCAACTTTCACTACTTTTGACTTTTAACATTACAACCGTTTACATTTATAATAGACGTTAACTTCATGGGCATCATCCTTTAGCAGTGAAAAACTGTTTCCCATATATGTATATTTATTGACTTATTGGTCCCATTGTACTCTGATTTAAGAGAAACCTCTTAAATAACAACCATTTTGGGTGCAAAAAGGCTAGACACTGATAGACACTATGAACCATTTGTGTATAAGTAACAAAAACAAAGTGCCATTATCTCACATTATCAAGCAGAGTCAGCAAACTTCTTACAGACTCTGGCTTCAAAACTGTTTCACAGTGTGCATGACTCCAAACCCCGTTCCATTGACCACTGTCTGTGTCATTCTATGTTCTGTTTGATAGGTGTGTATACGTGCCTGTATGTTTTTGATGCGTTAATCCACAGTTAAATCCTTGGAGCAAAAAAGGAGCTTTAGCTGCCAGCTCTCTGGGGTTTGAGCGGTCCCGAGAGCACAAGGCCACTGTCCTGTAGCACTCTGAAATGTCAAACTCAACGGAGCGTGAGCCTAAATAATGTTCTATTTCTCAATACACATTTAGATGTTCCCATGCAACTTCTAAACTAAGGTTTTGCATGAGGTTGGATGAATTTAGGAGTGAATGACAACTGTGGCAGCAAGCATTAAGACTACTCTGCATTACTTACAACTTAACAGAGGTATTTAGCATTGACAAGCTTGACCTACCTGTAGAATGAGGCTTGAAACAATTTTCTTTTTAAATCTAGATGCATTTAGTGTGTGAAAGTAATCAAGACACTATCCTCTTCAGTTGAATGTATTAACGAGACGGAGACAGAGAAAGAGGAGGCAGATAACCCGCGTCAAAACGCTCAGGTCAGTATCCAAGGAATTTTAACAAGGCCAGCTATATGTTTATGGGCTTAGATATGTCTCATAATTATTTGTGAACATAAAAATAATTTGTGTGTAAATATGTGATTTGTAAATGTAAAACACCATCCACAAATGCATTTAAAAGATTTACAAACTCACAAATAAATTTGCAAATGTAAAACGGATCTGCAAATACGCAAAATATTTTTACAAATAAAAAAAAGATGTTTGAATATCTCTTGAACATTTCCAACTTTTGATCAGGCATTTGTGAATCCATTTTGTATTTTGTAGGGAGGCGTGTGGCGCAGTGGAGTAGTGCGTTGGTGTTTGGATCAGGGGGGCACAGGTTCAAACCCCACTGCAGTCAGCGTGTCGTTTTGTCCCTGGGCAAGACACTTCACCCCAAATTGCTCCTGTGGGGATTGTCCACAGTATTGAGTATGTAAGTCGCTTTGGATAAAAGCGTCTAACAAGTAACATGTAATGTAATGTATTTGTCGACCAAAAATGCGGCTTTGGATCTCACATTTCTGCTCGTGGATCGTCTTTTTACACACACACAGAGTTTTGAGACAAACTTTACGCCGGTCTCAGCTAAAATCTACTTGTGTCACTCGGTTATTTTTCGGTAAACCAAGTGCTGGCCTGCTGATGACGACATTTCCGCATGGTTTTCAAAGTAAGAGCATGATGGTTTGTTTAATGCGCTGTTTTTTTAATGAGCAGCGGAACGTTAGATGCATTCTTTATCACCATCATCATCATGTTATAGTGATACAGTTAGTTTGTGTTCTTCATTGTTTTTTGTGTATTCAGTCAAGCGGGTCAAAGTTACAAAGCACTTCACATCATATTAATCGGCCTAGTTTTACCTTACCAGTGCAGTGGTAAGGCAATCTGTAGAAAAGCACCGTATTTGAAGCCCAAACACAGACACACTGTTATCCTCACATCTTAACCACCCATTAAAGAAATACTACCGAATTCCCCGGAGGTCAGAGTTAGACTAGATTACAGAATAAATTAGCCTAATCCACTCTCTAAAGCCTGTATATAATTGTCCATAAACGTATGATACAGGAAGCTCACATCGTTTTATCTTCTATGATAAAACGCTTGTGGATTAAGAATAACCTTCTTTCAACTCCACACACCACCTCCCAACGAGCAGAGGATTATTGGTATTACTGTACGGATCCCCCAGAGGTAAGATCACCTTGTCTTAAGCATCAGCACAGATCAAAAGAATGTTGGTAATGCTTTAAATCTTTCTGTAATGGGAGTCTGGTATTCCTAAATTGCAGATGTCATCGTTCAAATTAACCTAAAACCCATTGTTGTTATTGTTAAAACTGAGGTTAAGGGCTTAAGTGTGAAGGTGTAGCAGGTACACTTCCATTTGGCAGGATGGTTATTCAGAATTGTACCCCTGATGCTGTATTATTGAAATGTTCCTCATATTTTACTTCCAGTGCATCTGCAAGTCGCTGTCAGCTACTGGTAGCAGGCAAGTACTCTCACTGGGTGAGGAATTGGTTATTCCCAAATTGTGTTCTTTTTTGTATCTTTGGCCATCTTCAGTTGGCTATAAAAGCATTTTACACTCTAAAGTCATTGCTGAGATCTGGGAACATGGTGGCACTGCTAGAAAAGTCAGATGAGCCAAGAAACTCAAACTGTCAGGCGATGAGATGGGTTCTAAACAGGCCAACAGTTACAGCAGTTTGTCTGAACCATTGTATTAAGTGATGAAAAATGGAGTTCAAGTATCATGTGGTTTTTTTCACGTTATGGTAAACGGGTTACCAATTGAAAAAGTGTATGCCTAAATAATGGCAACATACAAGACTCTTAGGGCACCTGATTTACCAGCTGATCTGAGTTCAAACACTCACATATACATTTAGGGAAGTGAATGAGATCAAGATTCAAAGCTCAAGTCTGTCTGTAAGCTTCCATCAACCTTAACAAGCATATGTTTTGGTAATAATTTTACTGATTGTCTTACTTTTTGCTTAAAGGTTTTGGTGTTTGACCACAGTTGTTGGTATGACACTTGTTGAGTACAACCTCTGGTTTTGTTCGATCTTCAAAGGATGTTTTTGTTTTTGGTTGAGTTTGTTTTTGGTTGAGTTTGTTTATTATTGGGTTTGTTTGTCTGTCTGTCAGCAGGATAACGGAAAAAAACTTGGGGTCTGTGGGTCACCATGGGTCGGGGAGAAACTCCCTCTCGAGGGACCTTTGGGAATTTAGCTTTTGGAGATCATTTACATGCAAAAAAACCTTTATATCACACTACAGGAAAGGGAAAACCCCCAATAAGCGCAATATGGCCTCTTTAAATCCAAATCAACGGGAAGATACACAGACAATTTTTAACCAATGGAAACAGATGTCAGATGTCTGCATGGATGTCTAGTTTTCATTAGGATGAAGGCAAAAAAAAACAATAAGAGGAAAATCCAAGAATATAATTAAAACACAGATAAACGCCCTGGCCACAAGTCAGTTAATAAAACTCAATGTAACAAATATTATTTTCCCGTCATCTATGAGTACTTGCAGGACTCTTGTTATTGGCAAACCCAGTTACTGGTGTGACACAAAATCTAAACAGCAGGTCAAGACCCGGGTGTTTTTACAGACTGCAGTTGCAATAATTAGCTTGCTTACCAGGCTGTGGCTCATTACAAGTCCACAGTGAGAAGCAAGGACGGGGATACAGGGTATTGTTCAATTCGGCTTAATTAAAGCAGCCAATTAAAACACTTATCGCATTAGTCAGGTGTGCTCTAGAGAATGTTTGAATTTGACTTGTTAAAAAAAATTGAAAAAACCAGCAGATTACTATCTATTGCTACTTATTATTCTGCTGTGTGCATGCTCATTTACGTGTGAGAACTGGTATGTGTGGTGAGGCTCCAGGGAGTAATATCGTCTTACTTTTGTTCAGCAAATTAGGTTGAGAGTGAGTGAGTGAGTGAGTGAGTGAGTGAGTGAGTGAGTGAGTGAGTGAGTGAGTGTGTGTGTGTGTGTGTGTGTGTGTGTGTGTGACTCTTACCTCACGTTTGCTTCCGTCTTGGAGGCAGCACTGTGGAATTCCTCCTTACTCTGTATGTATTTTTCTGAATTCTAAATGACAAGACGGGGAGACATAAACATAATGCATAAGTTGAGCTTTTATTTTTTGTTTATTATATGTTACATTTAGTCACAGTGTCGTATGTTCAAAACATTATCACAATCATATTTGGGTTACCAGATTCATGCTGTACACCTGTTCGACAATGTTGAGCCATATCAGATATAACAGTGTTATAAAATGTGTTAGTGTTTGGCAACTACAAATATTAAGTATTTTCATAGTGGGCTACGAGTTTAAAGTATGAAATGTTTGACAAAGAAAATTGGAGATTAAAACATGAAAACATTAAAGTCTGTTTCTGTGTAGGTTAAAAAAAGAGATATGACATCTCCAGATATGCAGGTAAGCACAGCGCAGCTAGCTTTCCCCCCCTGCTTCTAGTGTTGACGCAAAGCTAAGCTAACTGGCTAGTGGCAGTATCTTTATATAACAGATATGGAGGGGATCTTATCTTGCAATCTTATTAAGGGCAAGGAAGCAGGTAAGCACAATTTCAAAGTAAGTCAAACTATTATTTTAACTTCCTGGGAGCTTTAATTGTATTCATAATAGTACACGGCAAATCTTAATGTAGTTATTCTGCAATCACAACATACTAACCAATACATATTTTGTATTCTTTCTGAATCATACCCTTTTTGTCTCTCCTTTCAGATCCAATATCCCTTCTTTCCTAAACTCATAGCCATGGTTTACTCTTGAGAATGTCCCTTATATATGACGAAAAATGTATTTCCTGTACTGCACTTCTCCAAGCTTTCTCTTCCCCTATTCCGTATAGCAGCTTGCATTCTTCATTGTCTTTCAATTTTCCACTTTGTAGCTTCGGCTTTGAACTTCAAGACTTATGAGTTCAAAGCTGCAACTCTGAATTCCACCTGTGATTTAACCTGAATATTACCTTTACTCTAAGATGAACCACACGGGAGACCCCGGGCCAAAGAAGCAAAGCTACAGTGCGAAGAAAAAGTTGTGGAGCTGTATTTTCATCCTCAGGAAAGCTATGCAAATCCAGCTTCTTCCGGCAAAACTGAAGCTCAGCAGTAGCAAGTTGCCTTAATCATACATTTTTAAAGAATTGGTGACTTCTGACTGTGCAGCTTGCCTGGTGAGAACAAAACCCCAAGCACGCAGGCAGTGGTATTATGATAAAACAAGCAGCTAATCCACAACAACTGCAGCCTTTCCTTTGCTGATCCTCCTAGCTTAGGCCTCCCAGCACCAAGTACCCACTCCCCAGCTCCCAAATATTTAACCAGCAAACTGTACCAGCTGGGGAGGAAAGAGGCTAGAGGGGAGGTAAGAGGGGAAAGAAGAAAGAAAAGCAGCAGAAGGCATGACGGTAAGAGGCAGGAGAATATTTGTGTTTGCCCTGACTTCTTAAGTTGGATTGGGCCCAGTGTGTGCACGTGTCTAAGGTAGGCAAGGTACAAAAAGGAGTGCTGCCAGTGCCATATGTACACTAAATTCCTTATGCAGTGGACAAAAAAGTGAATGTAACTGAGGAAAAAAGGGATTACAAAACACACCTACATACGTAGCTATTTTATGTTATGATTAATCTTGAATGGTTTGGGTCAAAATAGCCTATTGGTTATGACATAGGACCTGACCCAAGCATGGACTTCTAACAAATCTCGCTTGAAGCAGGATTTGCTTCATAATGCCTTTCAAGAATACACCACGATACTTGAATGATTTGAAATTCCAGAAGAAGACCATGACGCACAGAATTGAAGAGTTCCGGTGGTACTTGGTGATATCAGACCTGAATCATCTCTGTACAAGTGTGTGGTCTGATTTTGTAGCAGCCTGGTGTCATCTGCATTGGATTTAACCAAGGTAAACAAGACAACATATAAAAATGGCAGTGTGCCCTGATGCAGCACATGACCGAAACTTTTCCATGTGGTTCCGAGACGTCTTATCTCATTCATTGTGAAATTGAGCGCACATACACAAGACTGACAGTTTACCATAAATGACCATGGACATGCCCTTAATCTACATTTGCATATTGATACATCTGCCTATTCAACCACTCATTAGACCAGTCATACCTGCCAGTGAAGAGAATGGCAAAGAAGCAATGTAACTTCACCTTTTGTGTCACATTGGCAATATTCTACAATAGCAAGCGTACTGTCAACGTATTTATGGATTTTATTTTATGGAAATCAAACGCCCTTAAAAAGTAATACAAATTCGAACAAATTGGTGCTTTATAGTCTAACCAGGCCACCATTTCTTTCTCCCTTTACCCATATTGCATTTACATTACAGCCATTGACATTCGCAATTCTGGTTTGCTTAAATAATCCAAAAATAATTATATTGGAAAATTTACCATGGAATGGAAATGTTTTGTTTAAGGGTCCAAAAAAACATTTAAAAAAAAGTTATCTACCCTGCTTCAATGAAAATCAGACACAGATGAAGATTAGAAATTCACCATGGATGAAAGCCTCAATATAAAAGAGATAAAGAAGGATTTATAAAGGCTTGAGAAACAATGTTATTCAATAACTGAGATTAGCTAAATCCTGTTTCTATCTCAATATAATGAGGCACAGCATTAGGTTGTTTAATTTGACCAGACAAATTAACAAATGGCATAAAATGAAAAACAGGAAATAATGGAACACTTGCATTGAAGCTTCGTCAAGACCAACTATTACTTCTTGCTTCTCTTGTCCTACCACAAATGTTCCAATGTACTTTCCTTTGTATGCTGCATAGATGCACTTGTTTATAGGGGCTTTGATTACAACTATTAGGCCACCTGCAGCCTTTTAGTTGAAACTTTCCTATTTCCTAGGCGCTCATTATGTTCACTCATTTGACGTCATGTAGACCTGTCTTGTCCTCTCTTGGTAGCTTAGTTTTTTAAGGCCCCGTCCACACGGAGTCGATATCTGTTGAATCTGCTAACGTTCTCTATCGTATAGACCAGTGGTTTTCAAAGTGTGAGGCGCGCCTCCCCTGGGGGGCGCCAGAGAGCTTCAGGGGAGGCGCAGCGTGAGACACAAAAGAATGAGAAAAAGACGAGTAAAGTGACACTTGCCCACTTGTGGCTGTCTGTGGAGACCGAGTTCCCCCACCTCGCCAAAAAGGCTGTAAAAGTGCTAATTCCCTTCACCTCCACCTACCTGTGTGAGTGCAGGTTTTCCGCATTGACTTTGATCAAAAGCAAGTACCGGTCAAGGCTGCAGCCAGAGGATGATCTGCGTTTATTCCTCTGTGCATCAAAGACGCAGACTCATTGTTCCCACTAAAGTAGGGGTGAGGTAATAAGGAGGCAAAGTTGACGTTCAGTGTGTTACCGGGAGCATATAAGGATTTATCCACCATGTTGAAAATGTTAAAAAAAAATATGTCTTGAGAACACGGTGTGCGGAAATATACGGGTCGTGCTGCAGCTAGATGTGCCTGCAGCTAGATGTGCCTGTCCTCTGTAAGAAGGTGTCGGCGACTGACATGCAAGGAAGAACGGCTGTCCACAGGCTGTTCCAACTTTAACAACTGTATTAACTTCCAGGGTAGTGAATTGAACATGCAATTGACCTTTCGCAAAGCCACGCCCCTAAATGCCCGTTGTCCAATCATATTCGATCACGTGCGCGGCTCCCTGTGGAAGTCCGACAAGCTTAGCGTTCAAATTCATTGCGAAAATGGTGAAGCGTTGTGCTTATGGTCTTTGCAAATCGGATAGCAGATATCCCATAAGCTTAGGAGGGGGGGTGATATTTTACCCGTTTCCTAAACCCAAAACCCGAGAGGAGAGATGCCGCCAGTGGATAAAGAAATGCGGCAGGCCCCATGCCCAGCTGAATATGGCGAATATCAACAAACACAAATACGTTTGCTCCAAGGTAAATACGTGCTAACGTAGCTAGCTAGCTAGCAAAGATTACATTCACAAATTAACTAATTTAATTAACTAATTTCACTAACTAACGTTAGCTAAAGTCACACGACTACAGCTGTAAGCTGTGTGCTTCTAGGTCGTTTTGACCATGTATATCACTTGATGCATAATAATGTCTGAACAGCTGAGCTCCGTTATTAGTCTACCTGTGGT